GTGTGTGTGTGTTGTGTGTGTTTGTGTGTGTGTACTGTAGACAGACATTGATAAATATATATATTCGTGATTCTATGGATACATGTGTATTTGAAAGCTTGACAGACATTCGTAATTTCGAATGCGTATACTGACATTTCATAAGGCGTCAGTTTCTGTAATCTGCATCTTTTGATTTTTAAGAAACAGTACGATAAAAAAGAAATGAATACTGTACAGTGCAATGAGTGCATATATAAAATACTATCTGTAACGTAATTCTGCAAATAATGCCCACACCGAGCATCATTGATGACCCGTTTTTATTTATACATTTCAGTGTTAAAAAAAAGACAAGAATTGTTGTTCGTATCATGGGATCATGGTCCTCTGCTGGAAAGTCTGCGCAAAATTTTTATTCCATCGCAGAGAGGAACCTGATTTCCGCTCGAGACCTAATCCAGAGACGGCCATTTTCGTATTGACATGTTTATTTAATTATTATTTACCCATGTCTCTCGCAAACTCGGTTCAAAATATCCACATATTTATGTGCACAATGCTCATAGAACGAATGCCCCGGCAGGCCTGCACTCCTGCAGACTGCTATGCAGTGCCTATACGTACGGAAAAGTAAAAATTAAAAGGTCAAGACGTGTCAGGCTGTCAGCGGACTGACAGTCTGCTCAGTGCCCAGTACTCAGTGCTGTCACGCTCTACAGTCTACACTCTACACTCTACTGTACACTCTACAGTCTACAGTCTACACTACACTCTACAGTCTACACTCTACAGTCTACTATTTACGCACACATAACAAGAAGTCTACAACTCTACATAATAAATACATACGACTGTATACTTCTTTAACAACGTCACGGATTGGCGAAGACAGAGAGAGCCAGTGAACCACGGGCCGGCTCAAGCTTCGTGCAATGAAAAACTGTGTAGTTCGCGAAACTCTACGTATTTCTTACTCCTGGTGAAAAGCCCCAAAAGCCAAAAGGCGAAAAATAAAAAACCCAAGAAAGTGACAGCGAACGAGACTCAGAAGTAAACGTCTACGATGAACGTATACGTGAAAATAGATGAATTTAATACGCTAAACGTAAAAAATGATAAACGGTTTACTTGAGAAATCCACACGGTCAAAATCTCGATTGCAGTATTTCAGCATATACGTTTATATTTAACGCAAAACGATTTGTTTTTAGAAAACGTTAGAATGAGAAACGAACTGAAAATACATAGGTGCTTGAAGTCTGCATGCAGCGACTCTAATCCTAGAGCGTATTCATCGTAAAATATATGCAGTTAGGTTTGTTTACTTTTGTACTGGTGCCATAGCAAACGTACAGTTTCTTGTACTTTGCAACTGCAATTCTTATCGCTCGCATCAGCTACCGTCTGTCAGGCAAGTGCTTTTGTGACTAATCCGGCCCTGTAAAAGACACTCTTGTTGATAGCACTCAATAGCTCATAAGTAACCTCTACACCAACCACACCTACATTCAATCATGACTAAGTTTGCACAAGTGCTATCGCGCTACAGCCGCATCGCGCGCCCGTCTGCGAACAGTGTCAACAGCATACCCAAACATGGTACAAATAGCTATCTAAGCAGGTCAAGGGGTATGTCTAGTCTTGCATACAACTACACAAAGTTCAACTGGGAGGATGCACTGAACCTGGATTCCCAGCTTACTGAAGATGAGAAGATCATGCGAGACGCTGCGCATAACTATTGTCAGGATAAGCTCATGCCACGCGTGCTGATGGGCAATCGGAATGAGAGTAAGTGTGTCATGGCTACGGATGTACTATTGAGAGAGACCGACAAGTTAGATACCATGGGTTTGTGTAGAGACACACAGGATGCAGGATATTAAGGTTATGGTGTACAGATACACATACGAGTAGTCTGCTATGGTTATGTGTACACACGTATGCACACACATGAATTGCCATTCAACCACACTGCACACACACACACACACACACACACACTTATGTGTATATAATGGCAATACCCCGCGTTTTCACTATGCAACACCCTCCCTTTAACACAATCGACAGCACACATAGTTAAATGTACAGCCGAGGTTTTCTTGTGTGTAAATCGTGTCGACTACCACACATTCTCGAACAAACTGTTTTAGGACAGTGGCTGTGTGCCTGACCACTTATTTGCGCCTCTCTAACCGTAGGATTAAATTCTGTTTCCAATTCACTTCAACAGCGAAATGCACTGCTATTATACAATTTTCAGGCACATGTCTGTACACTATCTTAGGCCGGTATATGAATATGAAGTGTCTCTGTATTCACTAG